GATGCCCAGGGCCTAACCAACTCAGAGGCCCTGGGCTTTCAGCATTTGCTGAAATCCGAGACTCGGTGCACTCCAACCAACTGGCGTGCTGCAACTGTATGAACCCCACTTCGTGAAATGTTGCACAAAGGGCTCTTGTCGATTTGCTGGCCCGCCTTCACTTAGGGCGGGCACTAGGCTTGCTGGGGCCTTAGCCCAGAACATGTACTTCATGGCAAGGCCCCTACTTGAGGGCTCAATCCTCACACAAGGCATAGGACGACAACCAGCAGCAAAGACATGAGGCGTCAGGGCATAGGACGTCAAACAGCAGCAAAGGACAGTGGATGGAGGGCACGGGGGAGGTGGGAGGGCACATATACACAAAGTATACCAAGCGGACAACACACCAGTATATCGAGCTGATGGCACACCAGCACACCAAACACAGCAACCAAACCAAGCAGATAAAATACAAGCACATCAAGCAGACGACACGCAAAGACACCAAAGTCCCGAAATTTTTCCCAAGGACTGAAAAAAATAAAAAACCGATGATGACAAGATTGTTTCGTCGGAGTTGCACCGACTCATCAGAAGGCTGAACCCTCGACAATCTGCGGAATCCCCGTATTTGATGGTTTGGGTCATGAACCCTTTGACCCATGTTGAAGGCAGACTGTCCCCAACCGGGACATAGCAGCGGGCAGCAACCCTGTGGAGCACCAGGCAACACAGTAGAGGCAGCCCAACCGCTTATCACCAAAGACGACTGCAAGGAACGACAGGGCAAGCGGACGAGCAGCTCGGCAACCGTGCGGTGAGGCGCAAGGCAACATCAGCAAGGCGACGACACTACAAAGCACACAAGCAAGTAAAGGACGCTGAAGGCCAACAGGGCAAGCAGACGAGCAGCTCGACCACCGTGCAATGAAGCACAAGGCACCACCAACAAGGCATCCAAACTACAAGGCATGCTCGCAAAGGACACTGAAGGCCAACAGAGCACACGGACAAGCAGCTCAGCAACCGTGTAGCGAAGCGCGAGGCACCACCACAAGGCACGCGAGCAAAAGACACGGGAGGCACGACCTGCGGGTAGGCGGCAAGGCAGCAGAGCAACGAGGACGACCTGCAAAGCAAGCGGCATGGGCAGCAAGACCGCGGAAGAGCGCAGACAAGACAGTCTACACATCCAACATGGAGCAAAACAGCACATGACCTACTCACATCACGATAGAACCCTGCAGACTGTTGGTTCCCACCACCCGCTGAGCCAGGGGTACACTCCGCCGACCATCCGTCATCACCGACAGGCAACACAGACATCCCGAACTGAGCGGCCCCCCTAAGAGTGCAGTAGGCACTCCAAACGAGGAACCACCGACTGTTTGGCACTGCTAGAGGGTGCTCGGCTAGAGACAAAAGCACTTAGAAAAATTAGGAGAAAGAGGAAAAACAAGCATACATAAAACTGATTGTGTGTGTGTGTGTGTGTGTGTGTGTGTGTGTGTGTGTGTGTG